GCATCAGGCAAAGTAATGAAAAATTCTTCCCACAGTACTCCAATACTGACAAAGCAAAAAAGAATCAGCAGAAAAGATGAAAAGGATCCAAATAGAGATCACTGTAGCTATAGTCACTGAAAAGTAGTTTTACTTTAAGCAAAGCTTGAGTGATTTTAATACTGAAGAAACAACTGCATCGGTAGATAAAGAGACAGCTGTGAAAGATTGGCTGTGTCGTTTCAGCATGGTGCACCTCCCACTGAATGCCTGCAAACTGCTTTCAGCCTGGCCAACCTAAAATACCATAATAGTTGTAATTTTGTCAGTGATGGGCCTGGTCATTCGTTAGGGAAAGAAAACCAACAACCATATCTGTTTGGTAGCTATGCCCTGTACATGCATAGCTTAAACAATATTGTAAATATACTAGCAAATCAAACTTGTGCCAGATGTTAGAGACATGTTGATGCACAGGTGAGTAATTTGCCTTCTATCAGGAAATCTGCTGTTCTTGGACTGCTAGCCTTTGCAGTAAATGCAGGGAGAATTTTTGTAATCTTTATTTCTCCTTAAAAGATATCACAGAACATAATTTCACCAGCTGAGTGCCTATGAATTAATTGTACTTTCAATTACTTTAGATACAATCTATATTTGAGCATGCTTTTTGTCCTTTTCCATTCATTGTCCTTCCAGACATCATCAAAGTCCTAACAGTATGTTTGTGTTTTAATTGTGGGGACCTTTACTACATACTGACTCCAGCTGTCCTAATTAAATTAAATTTAAATGCATAGATTTGAAAAACAAGCCACGTTGACCCCAAAATCACTCCCTTCTCTTCTTCCCAATATATTTTACCATCTCTCAAATAATTATTTTCCCCAGGCCCTGCAACTACTTCATTCAATCAATTCCTTTGTGCAATCAGTCCTTCAATACATTTCCTGATTAGCATTTCAACTTTAATAAAATTACAATACAAAGCCTAAATGGCCTGAGTGTTTTCATCCATAGATGTTATTTAGGTCACTTGAAATAAATAACTGCAAAGCAGTTTCTGACCACAGTGTAATAAAGCATTTTGATATTTAAGATACATTTTTTTGCAGCACAGCTATCGTTTCCAATTATCTTCATAATTAAAACAGTACTCAAAAAAAATCTTTCTAGAATGGTCAAAGAATTGAAACTGAAAGTATGGCTCACCTATGACTTTTCCTTTCATAGCACACAAATTCAGCCTCGAGCAACCCCAAGAAAGTGCCAGCTCTTTCTCTCCTATAGTGAAAGATACCCTCATCTTTTGCCCCTCAGTTCTACCTTCTCAAAAATCAGATTATTCTATCATTTTAAAAATTTTATTTTTAACATAAAAACATATATTTCTGTTATGCCCGAGTGTAACAAATACTTTTATTTTTCTCTTTTTAGATTTCTCGTATCACTTTCTTTTATACTGCATATCATTTTCCAACAGAGAATCTTTTCTCATAATTAATGCCTAATTAGATAATGCTCTGAACTGAGCTTTCAAAAGAAAAAACATTACCTGAGATTGTGTATATTAGTAACATCTTTAATGATTTTATTCAGAAATAATATTGTGGTTTGAATCAATTAATCAAGATACAATATTAGATTATAATTCTGTTCAAGTTCACTTGTGAAAAGTGGTACAAAATCATAAGAAGGGCAAATGTATAGCGGATTCCTCAAGAAAATCTTCCCTGTGTTCAGTGGCTTGCATTTGAGTCTAATTAATAGGTTGTTCAGGACAGGGAAGAAAAACACAGAAGTGTCTCCTATTGCTAGTTTGCTTTTGCTCTTAGAAGCCTGGGTTATTGACAGGCATTTAGTTACGTATGTGCTGTGTGTTGCTTCAAATCACGGATAGAAGCAGGGGCACTGCTCTTTGATGTGTAACCCCAAACAAGTGCTGCCCATCCCTGCAAAAGCCAGTGGGCTGATGGCCAGAGCCTAAGGGAGTGCATATGGGAAATAGGGCTTTGCAACATGCACTTTTGGTGTGTTCCAAGAGCCTGAGGAGACAGTCAAATTTCCCCTGATTTCCTGAAGCAATAATGTAACTGTTCTGCAGCTGAAATCATGGCCAATGTGCAGCTGAACTTCTGATGCATCGCTGAGCCTAAGCTTACCTGAGAGATTTTCTACAGCACATTGGAAACGCTTCTGCTTAAAGTCTTATATAACCCATCTTGCTACGATGGAGTGGAACATCCCATCCCACTAATGCTGCCTGTAAGAAATAGGTCACATAACTTGGACGCTGCCAATTGCCAAATAGAAATCAATTTAGAATGCCATGTACAGAAAAAAAAAATCAATGCTCATTGACATGGCCCAGCAAGCGGACGATACGCAGGGCACAAAGCAGGACTGATGGCTATTGATGTGCACAGCAGCGCAGCTACCTGCGGTTGGGAGCGCATGGTGCGGAGCACGGTGGGTGCTCTGCCGGTGTGTGGCTGGAACCACAGGGTGTGCTGGGTGCTGCTGGCAGAGGGAGCCAGCCCTGCTCTTGAGACCTCCTGAACATGGCATGCTGGGCCGGGCTGCCTCCAGTGATGTTTCCTCTGCATTTTCTTCATAACAAGTTTTGAATAAATATTTTTTTAATATGTATATACGTATGAATCTAAACATGCTTACTTGGTACTTTATATATTCTGACAATATGTAAAAACACACACCCAGTTCATTAGTGTATTAACATCTCACTGGTTGGGGTTGCACACAGACTGCATTCCATTTACTTACAATAGAACTCAGAAAATTAGGAGTCTTTAAGACATTCTGATTCAAAGAATTTCTTGTATGAAGTTACACTAGTTCCTGTTTAGTGACATGGGTAAGATACAGATCCCTCTTTTTTATGTTTAGTTTTACCTCATTCTTTTTCTTAAGACTGGCTGGTCAACTAAATATCCATTACAGCAACTATCTCCAATCCACAATTCTCACTGTTCACCTAAACAAGCAATAACAAATTAATGTTTCAAAACTTTGGGCACTACAGTAATATTTTAGAAGAGTATTTCAGTGTTAATAAAGGCAGCATCAGATCTCCTACCATTCAACCACTGCCATTATTTAAAATAATTTTTCAGTTATGGTTTTCAGTTAAATAGACTTAAATTATTATAGGTTAAGAGTAGATATATTACTTAATCTTGTAAAAGTTTTAATTGTGATCTTTGCTTAGTAGGAAGCTGCAAAGGCTAAAGAATGTGTTGTACATAGCAGTAAGGCAGAAATGTCAGAAGCAAGAGAATCCCCCAAAAGCAGAGCCACAGGCAGCAAAGATTCATTCAGCAGAAAGCACACGGAATGGGTTGGAAGATAAAAATTTAGACGATGAATAAAAAATGTATTTTTAAAGTAGGAATTTTATAAAGAGTAAGGATGGAAGGAAGGATAAGGGCTTAAAGGCAAGAGGCTAAATAACAGATACGAGGAGCTGGAAAATCCCAACCCTGCTTTAAAAGGAAAAATAACAGTGTCATGGGAAAGCACAGTAAGATGAGAGCTGCACTGTTGACCTGCAGTGAGGCCAGCATTTAGGAGGTAAGTTTCTTTTATTAAAACAAAGAAAAGAGAGATTGAGAGAAAAAGGAAAAAGAAAAGAAAGCAGTGAGGGTCCTCCTAATGGGCACACTTGACTGAAGTTTTCTCTTCCAGAAGAAATTTCCTCGGTCTTGTATGTCTTACTGGTATCAGGCAACAGCATTGTATTGTTCTTTAAATAAAATAACATAACACTGGGGGATATTTAGGTTCCTTTTATGTGAAGGTAATTATTTAGTTGAAAAACATCTGAGTTTAATTCTGAAATGATTCATAAAATTTAGTGGGTTATGCATTGCACACCAATTTACAGGTATGCCTGCATCAAACTCAGAGGCTTGTTTCTGCTTTTAACATAGTTTTATTTATTATTTTCACGTATTTCACGTTATTTAGACATAGAAGTTGCTTAATTTGTAGAAGAAGATGTCAAGTTACATGAAGTATATTTTGTAATTAAGAGCACTTGCAATAAGCATGTGCACAATAAAAGGTACTTCATACTGTTTTTTTCTTCTACAATATCAAGTGCATTTTGATGCAATTGTTTTCTCTTTTATTCCTCAGTGCAAGTTGCCCTGTTGGAGACAATTTATGTTATCAAAATTCCACAAGATAAGCGACCTTGTGAAAAAGTAGAACTCATGATAAAGAGGTAAAATTCTGGAACTGTCCCTTACGATTTACATACTTTTTTTTAAAATATATTTTCTATATCCTTTCACCTGTCTACTTGAACAAAGCAAGCACATTTTTCTTTAGAATTAAGTTAATACAATCCATTTTATTTTCTGCCAGGAATAATATAAAAGAAAAAAGCAGTTTCTGATATAAAATATTTTGTTCAGAGGCTAACAAAAATAATAACCTGTTATATAAAAAAAAAGAGGTTTCTTCAAAATTTGGATGCTTGCAGGTTGCTAAGGAAGCTTTAAATCAACATAGATGCCTGTTCTTTGGATACAGTCTATTTTATCATCCTAATCTTGTATTAAATCTCATTTTAAACAATCTTCCATTCTAATAAACATTACCTTCTTGTTTCTGAGTACAATCTTTTTGAACGTTGCATGGTTAAAACATTCAAGTGTACTTGGTTTAGTGTAGTGTGGCAAATGTCTGTGGAATGCAGGGGCATATGGTGTATAATTACAGAACCATATGGATGCCAGTAGTAATAGTCAACAGCATTTGAATACAGGACCTAATAAGTTGGAGGAACAGCAATAATAGACCATCATACCCAATCATAAAATCATATGGATACATATAGTTTCTTTATAGCTGAAAGAAGCCTGTCCTTTAATCTGGCAAAGCCAGTGTTTCCATACAAGCATATAGCAAGAGAATGTAGTCTGCATCATTTTAATCTTGCCTTGGAAATTTCTAAACCCACATAATTAAGATGAGCGATGCAGAAAATTACTTACCAATGCACATAGCAGATCAACTGCTTCCAGTATCAGTTCTTGGTGGCCAATGCGAGTAACTCCCAGTTCCTCAAGCTCTTGATGAGTGATGTGTAGCAGCTGTTCACCATTGATCTTTTCTCTTTCAAAATTTTTAATGTATTGTTGGAGGCAATCATCAAGGCCTTTTAAAATAAAAAAGCCAACAATGCACATTCAGAAACAAACAATAATTCTACAATGGACAAGTACAGAAATTTCTGTAGAATACAATTACAAATCCTTCCTTAGATCTATAAAGGAAAATAAAAATAAATATTGCTTAACATACACAGTAGCACACTTCATAGCACTAAAAACCAAACTTTGTACCACTGACACTATTTTCAAAAACCTTAAGCATTTTAGCATGAATTTAAAGCCTTCATGTTACTTATTAGGGAGATAAGGGGAAGGATAAAGAAGCACACAATGACATTGTGGAAAACTTTTTTCTTACGATGTTGTGGAGCCCTAAGTATATGTTTAGCTTATGATTGGGAGTAAATACTTCTTGGGATGCCTCTTTATTTGGTGCAGTTATCTCTGTATAAGGAAGAGTTCTTCAAGCTTAGTAATCCATTATTAAAAGATTCAGTTTTGGTCATTTTTTCAAGTCTAACTATCCAACTTTCTGAACCACATAACATATATGAGTTATTGTTACAGCCAGAATCAGATTCAGTTACGCAATTTCTGCCCATGCACACAGAATTAATCCATTTCATGCTGAAACTTGATATAGTAAGAATAACAGAGTTGGTAGTTGTCAATCTGCTCTCTGAGAACAGAAAAGGGACCAATAAAGAACCTGAGTTCAAAAATATTCCATTCCTCCAAATCTATTTCAGAGCCACAAAAGTTAGAACAGTGAGACTTTCCACTATTGAAAGTTATACCAGGTTATGTAGAATTCCCTCAAAGATTCTATTTAGAAGTGCACATCTCCGTTTCCATTTTCCATCTCCATGGAAATAAATAGGAGGCATTACTTTCAGAGCAGTCTTTGTACTATATTCACTGGAAACTTGCTATTCTCTTTGAAAAATTTTTGGAGACCTACAAATCAGATGTAATTAGAATTTTTGGAGGTAGGTGGGTTTTGTAGGTAGGGTTTAATCTCTTGCATTTGTTCTCCAGTGAATTGGGTAAACTCAAAATCCATAAGACGTATGGATATCCAGGAACAAGTGCAGTGTTTTTACATGAAAAGTGCATTCATTCAGTGTATTTTTTGTCAACTGTTTCTTGCTAAAAGATGGAAGTGCTCAAATAGTAACAGAATGCAAATGCAATCAATCTGTGTTAAGAAATTAGAAAATATCAACAGAATGGGAAGTAACAGACAGATTAAGCTATTCTCCTCAAGGAGGAAAATCGTGTACAATGACACTAGTGAAGTGCAGAGAGAAGACTGTTAAGACATCTCCCTTTCTATTGCTTAATATTGGAAAGATTGGAATAATGTTGAAAATAATGGGGTTCAAGTTAATTGTATCTATTATTAAAAGTAAAGCTGCCTGAAATTTTCCTAGTACTGCTGAGATTAGAACCAAAATGTAAACAAGTAATTAAGTCTATATCTCAAGTTCCCATCTAGAAAAAGATCCGTTTTAGCTATGGGACCATCTTTGTGGAGACAAGGTATCTTGGGTAACAACCATAAAGAAATTCCCTGGAAAATCATGATGAAACTGGCTATGCGTATTTAAGGACTGCTAGGTTCCACATGGGATCTTTGTCCAGTGGTCATGAGAAAGACCACTTTTACAATATTCAGCTCTCTTTTGAAAGGAAAAAGGAATGGTTTTATCATAAGTTTATAACCAGCAGTCTGTTTGTAACAAACGCCCAAGCCTTCCTCTGTTCTGGAAGTGTGTGCAAACAGGAGACCACTTCTCTGCATCTGTTGCTGGGTTTAAATGATTTAATTAATGGTTTTATGTAAGTAGGTTTCAGTCTGGACTGGTTGAAAACTTGTCACTGCAAGTTGTGCATGTATTATTTGACACTGAAAATTCAAAGCCACTACACATTTCTAAATAATTCTCAGAAATATTCAGAATAAAACCCCATGGTTTAGGTAAGTGTTCACCAGAAGCAAACATATTTCTATGAACAAACTTGTCAGAAAAAGTCACTGAAAGGACTGTCAAAAATAAAACTATTTTGAGCAAAAGTGAAACAAATTAATTTAGGACGTCAGTATCGTGGCTACAAATGAGCATTTGTTGTAGTCAGAAAGATCTAAAAGATACCTAAAGAATGTGACATCCTATGAAAAGCGTATAGCCAGATAACTTAAATGTGCCTTTATGCCAGAGACAATATATGACAGAAGAGCAAAATATGAAATTTGTGTTATGCATTCTGCTCTGTAATAGCTCCCCAGGGCATCTTTAGAAGGCGTTAACTTACTGGTGCAAACAGCATGCCAGTTGACAACAGAATACAGAAAGACATCATTAAAAATCCAGGCTGTCTCATAGCATGACAGCATCTAATAGACACACACACACACAAAGAAGTATCTGTCCATTGCTCTCTGTCTACCTAGGAACTACGCATTGTATGCTATTGCTCCTTTTCTTCTGATGTAAAAAGTTTTGTTCAGTCAGTGTGAGGTCTTACAAAGCAAGAATTTAGCTGACAGTAGTTTCAGTCCTTATTCTCACACTTGTAATTATCTTGAGCAGGAAAATATCAAAGATGCAATTAGAAAGAGTATAAAATGAGATCACTTTGACTCACCAAAGCGAAACAGAATATTTACTTCCTCCAGCCACTTAGGCCTCATTAGTGCTCTTTCTGCAATTTTGTCAATATAATTTCTGTTTACAAATAAGACTTATATTAGTTGATGTTCATAGCTATGAAGCTGCTAGGGGGCATTAACCCTGTCCTGTACGTAGGTAAATAAAATTAAATCACTATTCCCAAGTTACACAGTATCAGTGTCAGTGTTTGCAGGAAACAGGGAAGCTTGCATGTTCTTACATTTTTGGGGGTAGAGATTATAAATAACCAATATAGCGTTCATAATGCAATAAAATAATTCAAGGAGAATAGTTTACGCGTGCATGTTTTAATGTAAAGCTGAGATTTAACATCTGTGAAATGTGCTACTTTGTCTCTTTCCATTTTTAGGTAAAAGACAACTTATTCCATTCATGTGGACTAGGAAACTTTATCTCTGGATCCAAAGAATAGATGAAAACCAAGATTTCTGCTATCTTCAGTGCAAAATACAATCTTGAAAATAGTGCCTAAATTAAGGGAACATGAAGAGAGAGGAGAGGGAAAAGGTCAGGAGAAAGGGTTGGAGAAAGAAAAGTCAGTTAGCTTTATGGGTTTTTTTCCTGATCTACACAATTATTAAGAAAGGAATTGATAAAACAAAGCAAAGCGGTGTGTAATAAAAAAATTCTGCATTGACCTAGCTGAAATCAGATTTAGGTATTAACTCCAAGCCAATGTTACAAAAGAAATACTACATGTTATGGGCAACAAGGCCCACTGAGATTAAAATGAATCTTTGCATTGATGTCAGCAAATACTGGGTTTGTTTTACATTAAATCCATAAACATAGTTTGCATGTTATGTAAAGATCTGTCCCCTTGGCACTAGGAATATTGAGGGAAAAACGTGTAAAAGAAAAGAACAAATTGTTGCCTTCTATATAGAAAGGAGACAGGGCAGCTCTCACAGGGGAGAAATGTGTAACTCAGTCAAGTGTGATCCATCACAAAAGAAACGTAATTCCTAAGGTAAAGGCATGTGATTTCTATTTTTTCATAAATGTCTTCATAAATTACATTTGTTCTCCTTTTCTTTTCCATACATATTAATGTATTATAATAAATTAATTAATTTAAAATTATAATAAATTAATTAATACTGTAAGTTATGCTGGTTTTTTAACCTATCCTAACAATTCCTAACCAAATGATGGCTTTGTTCATACTACATCATTATTCCCAGAGAAAAATACAAGGCAGCTGGCTGGCACAACAAAACCCTGCCTGCGAAATGGAGGGATTACAGGGAAGACAGACAGGAAAGTTCCTTTCCAGTTCAGCTTGTCAGTACACAACTGCTCTCCTGAGTTGAGTCTTCTGACAGCAGAGGGTACACAACAAAATACGCTCTGGTATAAAAACACAAGGTTGCTCATTCTGCTTTTAGGGCCTAGGATGAAAGAGAAGGAAAACAGCTCAGTGACAGGTTTAGCACTGATGCAAGGAGGTTAGATAAAGCAATTACAGTCAATTTTGCCAAGAAATTAGGAATAGTTTGAATAAGGATCTGAGAGAATATCTAAAAGCATATAGCAGAAATCTGAAATCACATTTGCAGAGATGTTTCTATACAACAGTAGCTGTGAAGTACAGATGTTAATGGTTGTAGAATGAGGATGTTAAGGACAAAACCTGGAAATCAGTGGTTTTCATTCTTTTCAGAAGGATTACAGCCTGGTTTGGCTTCAGTGTGGAAAGAGCAAATTAATATTCCTATGAATGTATCTCAATAGGCTAATAAAAGCTAAACAGCAATCACATCTGTCATGACAAAATGGTGACTTGTTGAAAAAAATATAAAACAATCAGCAAATCCAAGTGAAGTGAGCAGATTCCATGTGAAAATACTGACTGCTGTAGTAGATATTAGGAGAAATCCATTAAAGCTTCTGTGCCCTCCAGTCCAGGTAAATGCTGGTTTGGGAAGGCAGACACCTTCTGAAGCATGGCCAGCCCGCAGCAGCACATCTCAAAGCAGCAACAGAGCTGGGAGCCATCAGGGCCACATCATAATTCAAAAGAAAACTGACTGTAGTGGAGCTGTCTCTGGGCGACAAGGGGAAGAGAAGGACAAACACTGCAAAGAAAGGAGCATAAAAGGTAGAAGACCAGAAACAGTGTCTGCTTTGAGAAAAAGCATAGAGAGAGAGACTGCTGAAGCAAGTCTGAAGCCACAGGGAGAAAAAAATCCACATCCTTTCATTCCAGCTGCTTATGCAAGTGACCTCCTGTGTTTCAAACAACCAGGACCTCTCAAAGATGCCCCACTTGGCTCCATTAAAGATTTCTCTTCCAAGGCAAAATTACTTGCAAGTCCAGAATATTAGCTATTCACTGTTAGCAAGAA